ACACACACGCACACACACACGCACACACATCTCTTAGCTCCTCCTCTTCTTCTCCTCTTCCTCCCCTTACCCCTCCTCTTCCTCTCCTTACTCCTCCCACCTTAGCTCCTCCTATGTATCACCCTTCCTGTTAAAATAAAATTTTTATCTCAAAATACAATTAAAGCATAACTATATCAATTTGTATCAGTAAGGTACAAGATAGACCTAATACCCAGTCCATCATTTTGTTGACTAAACAGAACCTCTGTCATCTCTCCTAACTAAAAGACTTAATTCTGAACCTGGCTTTTTTCTTGGCTTTAGAATGAATGTCAGCTGAAAACCATCGTCTCTAGTCTTTTCTCTCAAAGTAAATAGCGTGGGTTGGCTATGAGACTATAAGTCTTCAACCCCGTCAGAAATCTAGAATGACTGAATTAACTGAAATTATGGGAAGCACAAAGCATAGCTTCTAAAACTTAGCCAATTTATAGAGATCACTGAACACCTGGACAGTCCCTATACTACAAAACGTTGGAGCATCTGATCTTCAGCCTTCTGGCCCAGGATCATCTGACAGACCTAGTGATGTAGAATTATTAAGGGCTAATTGCTCTGTCTTGGCAGATATAATCAGTCGACTATTCCGAAAGTGTGTCCTTTTCATGACAGTAATTTATCTGTAGATGAAAAGAGGCAATTCTTATCTAGTGGCTGTCTCACCACAACTGGAGTAACTCCAAAGATGCTCAATTTCTTCTTAAGAATCCAAGACAGGAAGCTGTCAGGAGCAGACAGGTCTCTAATCAAAATGAACATTAATACAGAAATGTTTGTAATGTCAATTCTGTGGAATTCTGATGTTTTGAAAACCAACTATCCATGTAAGGCAATCTGGACTGTTTTCTGTTAACTCCTCTCAGCTATTTCTAAATAAGATATGGAAGACATCCTAACAATAAACTCAGAGCCTTGAATTTGCTATAGGCCCTTAACTCACAGGCTAACCATCTCAAATCAGTTTAAAAAAGTTAAAGAAGGACTGAGTCTAAACCTTGTATTCCTAAATGTGTTATGTAGGCACAATGCCTATGAGAGTAAAAACATTAATCTCACTTTTATATCAATAAGGAACTCATACCAATGAAAACCTTAAATTTGAAATCAAAGTAAATTTTGTACCATTTAAGAAATCATAACTTCAACTTAATAACAATTATACAGATTTCTACCAATAGGTTATGGCTATGCAATAAATCCTAGCTATTCCCCCCTGTTCCAACAAAACCACTACTTTTCCCTAGAAAGACCTCTTTTAACCACCTCAGTCCCCAAGCCCAGGGAATAGCAGTGCCGACTCTTCATTAACTTCTTCAAGCCGATTACGACCGTTGAGATATTAGAAGAGGGGCAGGGAGAAGAGTAAAATGATAAGCCTCTGACGTCTATGTCTTCACTGCATCCAGCTGAGATTCCAGGACATCAGAGGTTCGAGAAGGTCTGCTCAATTTGCTTGATGAGTAGATACACCAAGGCTGTGTATTCTGCAATATACAATTCTCAAAACAAATTTTAGTATCAAGATAATTTTTTGTTTGAATTCTGGAATCTAGTCCTCTGGTGGCCTACCTCTGTCATGTCTAATCCATATAATTCTGGGAGTTTCTGTGAAGGTGTGCTCCCACCATCCTCCCATTCCCCCCTCCTTGCTCTCATATTCCCCAACACTAGGGAATCCGAACTTTCAGGCATCAAGGCATCACTTCCACTAATGCCTGACAAGGCCACCCTCAACTACCTATACAGGTGAGGCCATGAGTCCCTCCCTTTGTGTTCTTGGGCTGGAAGTTTTAGAACGGCTACTCCAGCTTCTTTCTTAGGACCATTTGCTTGAAAAATTGTTTTCCAGCCTTTTACTCTAAGGTAGTGTCTGTCTTTGTCACTGAGGTGAGTTTCCTGTATGCAGCAAAATGCTGGGTTCTGTTTATGTATCCATTCCGTTAGCCTATGTCTTTTTATTGGGGAATTGAGTCCACTGGTGTTAAGAGAAACTGAGGAACAGTGATTGTTGCTTCCTGTTATTTTTGTAATTAGAGGTGGTATTATCTTTTTGTGGCTATCTTCTTTTGCATTTGTTGGAAGAGGATTACTTTCTTGCTCTTTCTAGGGTATAATTTCCCTCCTTGTATTGGAGCTTTCCTACTATTTTCCTTTGTAATGTCGAGTTTGTGGAAAGACATTGTGTAAATTTGGTTTTGTCATGAAATACCTTGGTTTCTCCATCTATGGTAATTGAGAGTTTTGCTGGGCATAGTAGCCTGGACTGGCATTTGTATTCTCTTAGGCTCTGTATGACATCTGACCAGAATATTCTCACTTTTATAGTATCTGGTGAGAAGTCTGGTGTAATTCTGATGGGTCTGCTTTTATATGTTACTTGGCATTTTTCCCTTACTGCATTTAATATTCTTTCTTTGCTTTGTGCATTTGGTGTTTTGATTATTATATGACAGGAGGAATTTCTTTTCTGGTCTAGTCTATTTGGCATTCCGTAGGCTTTTTGTATGTTCATGGGCATCTCTTTCCTTAGATTATGGAAGTTTTCTTCTATAATTTTGTTGAAGACATTTGCTGGTCATTTAAGTTGGGAATCTTCACTCTCATCTATACCTTTTATCCTTAGGTTTGGTCTTCTCACTGTGTCCTGGATTTCCTGGATGTTTTAAGAACTTTTTGCATTTTGCATTTTCTTTGACAGTTGTGTCAATATTTTCCATGGTATCTTCTGCACATGAGATTCTATCTTCTATCTCTTGTATTCTGTTGGTGATGCTTGCATGGATGACTCCTGATTTTTTTCCTAGGTTTTCTATCTCCAGGATAGTCTCCCGTTGTGATCTCTTTATTGTTTCTACTTCCATTTTTATGTCCTGGATGGTTTTGTTCAATTCCTGCACCTGTTTGGTTATGTTCTCTTTTAATTCTTTAAGGGGCTTTTGTGTTTCCTCTTTAAGGGCTCCTACCTGTTTACCTGTGTTCTCCTCAAATTCTTTGCGAGTGTTATTTATGTTCTTAAAGTCCTCTATCATCATCATTAGAAGTGATTTTAAATCTGAATCTTGCTTTTCTGGCGATATGGGGAATTCAGGACTTTCTAGTGTGGGAGAACTAGGTTCTAATGATGCCGAGTACCCTGGGTTGCTGATGCTTATGTTCTTGTGTTTGCCTTTTGCCATCTGTATCTCCTTAGTGCTACCTGCCCTGTTTCTGACTGGAGCCTGTCTTTCCTATTATCTTGGTTGTGTCAGAACTGTGTGGGGTCAGTGTTACTACTGGGGTTAGAGCTGGGGCCTAAGATCTGCTCAGTGCTCAAGCACAGACAGGAAGGAACTAGTGCTCCAGGCCAGGAGTGAATTCCTGGGTCCCAGTGGGTCCCAGTTATTCCCTGTTTGAGGCGGGTGTTGCTGTCTCCTTACCTAAGATACTGCCCAGGTTAGAGCTCCTGGGAGGTCTGCTCCTCTGGGTTTTGTGAGATTGGGTGCAGAGCTGCCACCTGGGATCTGTTCAGTGCTCGGGCCCAGACTGGAAGAACTAGGATGAGTGTTTTAAAGCCAGTGACACACCCACTCCAACAAGGCCACACCTACTCCAACAGAGCCACACCCTCTAATAGTGCCACTCCCTGGGTGAGCATATACAAACCATCACACCTAGCAAGTTTTCTCTGGGATTATCTTTTTCTGGACCTGAGGGCAGCTGCCTAATTTCACATATATAAGATTTAATCTGAACACAGCTACAACCAGTCATGTATAGATTGTGTGTTTGTTTCTGTAGTACTCTGGCATAGTTGAGCAGTTGTGACAAACCAAATCTGCAATGTTTAGCACCTTAACCTTTGAGAATAATTTTGCTAATCCCTGCTCTATTTGACCCTATGCACTGCTGGTGACACCTCTGAAATCTTGATTCTCAAACTCAGAGTGCCTGCCTTCAACACAAAGTAGGCCATCTGCTTGTACCATGGTAGCCACAGCATTCACAGGAGGGCTGTGGGGGTGATAATGGAAATAATGTTTTTGCCAGAGTGTGGGAAGAAGGGAGTCATGGAAGAGTACCTATAATGTGTCTTCCATTAAAGAAACAGTAGCCACTGTATCTGGACTTGATTCAAGCATTGAGTGTGCTTTCTTCCTTCTTGGGCAGGTGAGCAGTAACTACTAGCCCTTTCTCAACTATGGTTTGGAGAGACAAGGCCAAGGAGTAGGAGACTGTGTGAATGCTCAACAACATTACAATCATAGCAGAGGCTTAGGCCCACTTAGAGCAGATGTTTGATCACTCCTACACTGAGGAGGCATGCTAACTAAAATAAAAATAAAAACTAAAAAAATAAATAAAAAGCTTAGAAATAAAGAGTTCTGCCTGGCATGGTGAGCTGTGGAATGTACATAAAGTTAGTCCCAGAATTCAGGAGGCAGATGCCAGGGGACATTGAGTTCTAGGCCAGCAGGGGTTATAGAGTGACCGCCTGTATCAATTTAAAAACAAACAAAGAGAAAGACAGAAACACACACACACACACACACACACACACACACACACACACAGGGAGAGAGAGAGAGAGAGAGAGAGAGAGAGAGAGGATCTAAATATATCTGTGTAGGCAATGGCCACAAAATCCCTAATACTGGGTTAATTGTTAAAGGGAGGTTTGGCAGAGAGAGGTAAATGCATGTTACTAACTCTTCACAACATATATGATCAGAGGGTAACAGCCCATCCATACTGGGCCTTGGACTCACCGGGCGACCATACTGGTACCCCTCCCTACCTACTGTGAAGGGTGGACCTTGTAGGGAACTTTTTACATTCTGAAAAGTATACTGGCTTGTTTATAAGAAAACTCATCTATATACATATTTTCTTACACTCCAAATAAGATCCAAAAAGACAAAAATCATTGTTATGCGTCCCAGTTAGTATGGCTGTAGCAAAACCAGGATTCCACATAGAACTCACTCTAAATCTAAATCTTTTAATATTATCAAAAAGCTACAGATATTCAGCTTCTCAGAAGGGTTTAAGGAAGTGAAGAGGTGGACACCATCCGCCTTGAGGACTGTGTGTCAAGTGCAGTCTTTGTTGTAGCCTACGGGCTGCTTCGGGAGTTACTTTTTCCAGGTCCTCCCACCTTGGGCAGCCTAGTAGCACTGGGCTGGCGTGGCATCCTCTGGATGGGTCTTTCACGACTTCCACGTTCTGCTGCTATAGTCACATTGCCAAGAATGGGGCCACCTCGGTTTCTTCCTGAAAAGATATAGAACCCAATAATTAGGACCGAGGCAGCCTCCAGCTGCAGCACATTCACCGTTTTCTTTCCCAGGAAATATGCCCACCTTTCTGCTGTATGCAACCTGTTTCAGCTGCAGATATGTGACTAGTAATCTTGGTTGTTAATTTGACTACATCCAGAATCAACTAAAACCTAAAATCCTGGCATACTGGTAAGGGATTTTCGAAACTGGCTTATTTGATGTGAGCGCACCAGCACTAACTCTGGGCCACATCTATGGGCAGCCCACATGAAAGGACAGGGAAGAAGGAAGCTTTTGTTTTTTCCTCATTTTTTCTCATTTTCCCTGGCTCATCTATCCTGCTGCTGAAGCATTTCTTTGCTAGGGTTAGAATCTCCTTTGCAATTCCAACATAGAGTCAAGACTAGGAGCTCTGTAAGAATCCCTGGGGACTCTAGCAGAAGGTTGGGAATGCTGAAACTGAAACTGAATGCTGTAAACTGAAAAACTGCTTGATTCTTGGACTTTCTGTTGGACTGTATCACTGACTTCAGTTTGTAAACCGTTCTAATTAATCCCCTTTGTGTGTGTGTGTGTGTGTGTGTGTGTGTGTGTATTAAAATATAGTATTTTAATACATGTTTTCATTTCATCAGTTTAGTTCCTTTAAAGAACCCTGACTAATGAAGACTATCATTCCAGGAGTGGCTCAAGAGAAAGAGAATTTTAAGGATGAACCTTTTAAATATCTGGCACAGGTTTTTCCAAGTCACCAATAGCTACAGTTATTGAATGCTCTTCCAGTATCATGTAGAACACCAAAAATCCATGGTGTGAACTATTTAAACAACTTTTCAACATAAATGCATCTGATTATCCTGACTTTACCTATTGTATGGACGGAACAAGTGTAACTGAACACTAAATTGTAGTGACTTTATACATATAACTTTTGACAATCTGTGGGAAAAATAAGGAAAATAATGGTGCTGGATTGTTGCCTCTAGCATCTCTGGATAAACTGACAAAGTTTAAAGGTTTCTAAGTGAGCCCTGGAAGAGAATCCTCTCTTCAGCAGCCATAGACTTCAAGTTGCAAAAAATCAAACCAAAGCCCTCATTATAAGACTGGTTGAATTACAAAAAAATTCAACTACCATCTCAGAGGGTGTAGAAGTAAGGAATGGGACTCTGTACTTTGGAGTGCAGATGTGTGGGAAGAGTCAGTCTACTGAGGCTGAGACCTTTGAACCCTCAGTTTTGAATGGTTGGTTTATCTATCCCAGGAATTATTGTCTCCACTCTTACCAGAGGCATCCTCATCCCAACCCCTGCAGTATTGACTTCACTATCTTTGTCTAAGGGAATTCAAAGAATCAATAGTGAACTCCCCTAAAAGAGAAGCCAGGCAACACAATACTGATGTCCTCAGGGCCCACCGTAGCCTGGGGACTTAGAACCAGGTTTAAGGCTAAACAGGCTCCTAGAGGGGCCATAGAAAGTTTAATCACTAAAGAGGTGTGTTATACTACTAAAGGGTTAATAAGTCTGGTGACTCATTCTAGCAGTTTGGGGAAATGTGTAGGGATAGATTTTAAGGATGGAAATTAATAGTGGAAGAAACTTAAAACTTGATCAGGCTGTTTTTTGACATGGGCCTACTCAGAGGAGAATATAGGTTTAACACAAAACCTCCCACAGTTTAAGAACAGTATCAAAGTTGGTTTGATTGGTTGGCTAAAGCATTTGTCAAAAGATGGCCTACTGAAAGGAGCCTTATGAAGGGATTTTAAGGCTCAGAGAAATTAGACTTACTGTGTAAGTCAAATTCTTTACAATGAAGACTCAGAAGACATGTCCTTTAGTGGTGCTTTAGACACAAAATGATGAGAGGGGCCCAGCACATTTAAATAGCTTTGTTCTTGCCCTGTTCTTTGTGACAGGCCTTAGTGCTGCTCAGCTGAATGAATTAAATGTGGTGGTTTTAATTGGGCCCTGGTGCAGGGGAAACAGGAAATAGCACTGTAGGTATGGTAGTGGGCAGCATAGACAAAGCAACATCTAAATGGCCTGACCTTGTAGAGTTCATTTTTCATATCCCATTCAAAAACTAGGCCATGGACCATTTGCTATTTATGATGTTTATATATGCTTGGCCCAGGGAATGGCACTATTAGGAGGTGTGGCCTTGTTGAGTAGGTTTGTCACTGGGGGTGTGGGCTATAAGACCCTCACCCTAGCTGCCCGGAAGTCAGTCTTCCACTATCAGCCTTCAGATGAAGATGTAGAACTCACAGCTCTGCCTGCACCATGCCTGCCTGGACATTGCCATGTTCCCACCTTGATGAAAATAGAGTGAACCTCTATTATCTGTAAGCTAGCCACAATTAAATGTTGTCTACGAGTTTCCTTGATCATGATGTCTGTTCACAGCAGTAAAACCCTAGCTAAGATAGAAGTTCATATCAGGGACTTGGGTATTGCTGTGATAAGCCTGACCATGCTTTTGTTTGGAAGAATGTGGATTTAGGGACATTGAGTTTGGAAAGTCATGGAATGTTTTAAGTGGGCCTTAATGAGCCTAGAATGGAAATATGGAAGACTTTGTTGCTGTGATTTGAACTGTGCAGACATGGGCCAAGAGGTTTCAGTGGAGAAAAATTTCAGTACATGGTGTAGAGACAGTTTTTGTGGTATTTTGGTGATGAATTTGGCTACTATTTACCCATATTTGTAAAGTCTACCTGAGGCTAAGATAAAGAGATTTACATTAATTGAATTGACAAAGGAAGTCTCAAAAAAAAAAAGCCCAGTAGAGAGACTTTGTTCTCTGGTTAATCCTCATGAAGAACATTTTAAGTAACAAGTGTAACAAGCTTAGAAAGGAAAAAATATATAAAATATATGGTTCGAGTATTAAAGGGGCACCAGGAAGTAAAAATGGATCTGAATCCTGTGTTCTTGGAGATAGAAGATTAGGGGAATGAGACTTTAAGGCAAGAACCTACCTAGCTAAATTTAGATCCAGAAATGGTGGTACACACCTTTAATTCCAGGAGACAAAGCCAAGCAGATCTCTGAGCTCAAGGCCAATCTTAGACAGAGCAAGAGCTATGTGAAAGAAAAGCTTAAGTCTAGGCTTGGTGGTATAGTCCTTTAATCCCAGAAGACAGGCATGCAGATCTCTAAATTCAAGGCCAATCTACAGACCAGGATCCAGGACAGCCAAGCTGCGGCAGTGAAGGAGTTGGAAAACAGAAAGCTGGTGATAATGTAATATAACAAGGGGGCCAAGTTCTAGTTCCAGGAAGCAACAGAAGTCAGCAGCTTCGGTCATTTGGCTCTGGCTTTATAGTCAATAGTCAAAGACAACTAATGCTGGTTAGCTGGAGCTAAGAAATATGGTGATTGAGACCAGCATTATTGAGGTGAAATCTTCTGGGAAGTGTTTCTGAAAGCACAAAGAAGCTGTGTTCCAGAAATACTCAAGGTTGTGCCTCATGCTGCAGCTGTACTTGGTAATGTGTAAGAGTCACTCAGGTGGTACTGCTTTTGAAAGCATAAAGGGGGTCATGAAGAACAGCTAAGGCTTGGCACTGTAAAAGGCCATGGAAGGCCATTGGAGAAGGTGAAGCCTCAGTTGTAGTTGATGGCCCAGGACTGAAGGGATCATCCAAAGGATTTGAGGTTTAGCATCATGAAGGTAGCCTAGGAGAGGATATTGGTGAAGCCTAGATGCATTGGAAGACCCCAGTGTATCGGAGATGCCAGTACCAGGGGATGATCACCAAGAACAGCAGCAGCAGTGGAGTAGAGTCAACCTGAGCTTAGAGTGCTACAGAAGATAGAGCTGGAGCAGTGACGCCAGCCCCTTGGGGGAGCCCAGAAGATCTTGTGTGGATCCCAGACACTGAAACAAGAAGTTGTAACATTGAATCTGCTGTGGAGACCCCAAGATTTTCAAGATGCCAGATATTAGCATTCTGTCTAAGCTCCACCCTACAGTTACCTGCAACAGCTAGGTAAGCTCCACCCCATAGTTACCTGGCAACAGCCAGTTATACCTGATTCACTATAAAAGGGTCTGCTTGCCTCCTCCTTGCTCTTTTGCTCTCTTGCACTTCCCTTCTCCCCTCTTTCCCCATTCCCCATTCCCTTCCTCCCTCTCTCTCCACATGCTCATGGCAGGCCTATACTTCTCTGCTCCCCCCCCCTCCCTTTCTCTGCCTCTACAATCCTCTTAACTCCCCTCTCCTTGTCCTTAATAAACTCTATTCTGTATTATACTATCGTGTGGTTGGTCCCTCAGGGGGAATGGGCCCACCAAGGCACCCCCATACCTGACTACACCTCAATAGAACATATCCGCCCTTTCTTTACCTTTTAGAAACACATCATATGGTTCTGAGAGTCAGATTTAGAAACTCTGCAGGTTTGCATCCTACCCTCTGCTATCACATAGAGATCCAATACTCACTAGCCTTGTAGGACCCCGAAGGGCTGCTATGCCCTGGCTGAGCCTTTCTGCATACTGCTATCTACTAAGTAACATTCTGTGGTTCCTCTAGGATCAAAACATCCTGACTGAGGCATGGTTCCCCAGGAAGGGAATTTACACTTGACATCCTATTGCCCTCCAATTGAGTTCCTGTTTTTTCCTGAGTTTGTATTTTTCCTTCCCTGGCTTGGTGTATTGAACCTGCTCAGTAAAAGTTTTGGCATTCTCTTATAATGGATGACCCGAGTCTGAGTCTTTCTTTTTTTTTTTTTTTTTTTTTTAAAGATTTATTTATTTATTATTTGTAAGTACACTGTCGCTGTCTTCAGACACCCATATGAGGGCATCAGATCTCATTGCAGATGGTTGTGAGCCACCATGTGGTTGCTGGGATTTGAACTCATGACCTCTAGAAGAGCAGTCAGTGCTCTTAACCGCTGAGCCATCTCACCAGCCCCTTTTTTTTTTTTTTTAAAGATTTGTTTATTTCTTTTATGAGTACACTGTTGCTCTCTT